AGCCCCCCCTGATTCAGCGGTTTCAGCCCCCCCTCACTGCGTTTCTTTATGTGTTTGTTTTACAAAATTTTTCAAAGTTTTTTTTTTACAGATTTTTTACATATTTTTTAAAAATCAAATTTTTTACAAACTTTTTACAATTTTTTTTTACAGATTTGTTGCAAATTTTTTTTTACAATTTTTTTGTGAGTTGTGAATTTTGTTTAATTGTATGTTTGATAAAATTAATAAGTATTATTTTTAACAAATTAATCATAGTTGTGTAAAAAATTGATTCCCTTGTTTTAAACCAAACACGAATAAGGGAATTCTATTCCCTTTCCTATACCAAACCAAACAGACAAAGTAATTCATGGGTAATCATTCAAATTCCCCCTGATTCCCTTTCATGTTTCCTTTCCCTTTCCTCAGCATGAACCAAACGCCCCTTAGTGTTTTCCCCATAGATAATTAGTCATTTGTATCAAACATTTTTTATTCATATGGGGTGCTTAGATGTATAGTTTAGTTGATCAATAGGAGTCTAAAGCAGAATAATGTCTTTGTTCGACTCTTGCCCACGGCACAACATTAGATTTTTGTAGGTACTAAGAACCAAAATCAATTTTTATATAGTCACCTTAAGATTCAAAGTTTAGCTTACCTAATACGGAGTACTTCTTCTGTCTCAAAAAAATACGCTCTTCACTATATAAAAGTATTTATTTTGCGTTTTGATTATTTTTAATTTCCATACCAATTTTTAAACAAAAAAATTTAAAAATTTGAAAATTAGCTTTATTTTATGTAAAGTGTAAAAATTTGGGAAGGGGAAGTATTATTCAAGTCTGGGCCTGTTTGGGAATAACGTTAGAGAATAGCGATAGTGTTTGGATAAAATTTTAACAATGCAGATTACTTTGAAAACGCTAACGCTAAACGCTGCCCGTAGATAGTCTTTTCAAAACGTCAACGCTAATCGCTAATGCTATTCCCAAACAGGCCCTCGGGACACTATAAGATTGGTGGGATCGGATTTTTTTTTCTTTTTCATTTTGTAAAATGGAATCTAAAACAAATGAATAATCAAATCTCCTTTTTACTATGGGGTAAAATCTAGGTGGGTGGCCCACCATTCTTACAATTATTGAGTTGGTCCTTCGGTCCGCTTTGAGTTGGTCATGTGATCTCTCATAAGGCCATCCATTATGGCATATTTGACGGGATTTGGTGGATCTAAAGAAGTATGATGTACAGTGATAAAAATATGTGTTTGGTAAGATTTGAGAGCACTGGAAATATCTATGAAATTAAATCTCTGTGTTTCAAATCTTTTCTCTCTACTACGTGAGCTTAAACTTATTTTAGGCCCCGTTTGGTACATGGAATTCAAACTGTGGAATTGGAATTGAGGGTTTCAATTCCAATTCTGGTGTTTGGTAGTACAAAAATGATGTGGATTTGGAATTGATAGTGCAAAAAATGAATTGGAATTGGCAGAATTCAATTCTATGGAATTGAATCCCATGAAATCTCAATTCCAATTCCGTCAATTCCGTATACCAAACAGACCCTTACAGTTTCAGTGGAAATGAGTTTAAAGCTTCGGGGCTTCAAAATGGGCTTTAAACCTTCGTTTTTACATAATCTTTTAAAATTAGATTAATACGGAGTAAAATTTAATTATTTAATATTATAAAAATCTCTAAAGACGGTTAATTAATAAAAAACAATGCTAGGTTTACACATAGAATTGTCACAAACTTATCATTTATAACTTAAATTTTTATTTTAAAATTATTTTAGATGATTTAATTTCTTTTATTGAAGTCTACATATAGTAAGTTTGTAAATTTTGTAACAATTTTATTTTAAAATCTAGCATTTCTCCGAAATATAAATTGAACCAAACAACCAAAGTTTTAATTTCAATGTTTTATGCCTCTAACACGTTTGTTTGTTGTTCAAAACCGTCCTTTATTCTATAGTGTCTCGTTTGATAATTTAACGTAAATTTCATGGCATCCGAGAGTCATATTCGATTCTCCACGGGTTGACTTCGATCTATGGTTAAATTTTAGAGTTGTGAATTGTGATATTGTAGTTTTCACATCTTTTAAATCGGGTCATAATCGAATATTAATTTTTTATATAATCATTTAATGTATTGATGTTTGACCACCAAAGATTATGCCTAGATTTTGAGCAAATGTTATAAGAAAAATATGCTTCTATGATCTTAATGTTCACATGTAAAATATGAATATTCTTACATTTTTAATGTATCTTCTTTCTGTTCAAATATACTATTTATGGAATTTACCCGTTAACAAAGTTCTTTTTGTAACATCTCATATTGAGGTAACTACTAGACATAATGAATTGGAACCAGTGAGCTTTCTTCACAACAAGGGAACTACAAAATGGAATCGTTTGAGAATAACGTTTTTTTATTAGCGTTAGTGTTTTAGATAAAAAGTTAATGACCAAGAAAACAAAGGTTTCAAATTTTATCTTATGTGCTCCTCTCAAAGTGATCAATTTGATATTTGTAGATGACCTCATTATATTACTGGTAAAATTGATATTGGGTTTATTCAAAGTCTTATGAACTTCATAGAGAACTTCAGGAAATACACATGCCTCAAGATAAACAATGAGAAATCCAAGGTGGTATTTGGAAGATGTAGTGAAGAGCTTTAGAACAATATTTTGAATTTAACAAAAATGCCAAAGGGAGAGTTGCCTTTAACTTATTTGGGGATCGGAGTTGAGTCACTGCTTCTGGTTTAACAACAAAGACTAAGACAAATTAGTGGATAAAATCACTACGAAAATTTTAACTTGGAACTCTAATTAAGCATATCATGTATGCTGGTGGGTACGGTTAATCTAATCAATAGAGTTCTATTGAGAGTTATTACCTGATGGGTTTTAGGACCTGGGCCTAGAGTAGATTAGGCAATTCAAAGAGAGTAATTTGAATGAGTAGAGTGCTCCTAGATTGTAAAAGTGCGATAAGAGTGTATTATTGTTTAGTGAGATTGTGATGTCCCTCCTCCTCCAAAGTGGAGGGGGTATTTATACAAGTAATTAATTCATCCTGTGTGTGTCCCCTAACTGTTTGTTTTGGACAGTGCCCATGTCATGATCGCGAGTGGTGGCCAAAAAGATATGGGTCCCTATCAATAGTACAAGGAATGTAAATACATATATCAAATAATGTACAGGTGTGCAAGATTAAATTGGGACATAGCAAACAAGCTAAGAAGGAAATATCGTGGGTTTAGTGGATACATACAAGATATCTGAAGAACACATGCACCCTTTTGGTATTATATTCCCAAACACAATTGATGTCATTACGGGGAAAAACGATAAAAACGAGAGAAGAAATCATTGGGATGAGCAAGACTGAAAAATATGGTGTTCAAAAAGAATACAACTAACTGGCTATTGGGACGACCAAGCTAGAAAAGTTCCTTACTAGTCTAAATGGATCTGGACTAGAGGGAGTATTCATAAACACGGGTTATCTTTTGGATGATCATGAAGGACAGACATCAAACAAGAGTGAGCTTGAAAAAATATGTGCATATAAACACAGATGTCTATTGTGTGAGGAAGAGGAGGAGAATCTTACTCACTTATTCTGTAAATGTGATTATACTATTAGAGTACGTGTTGACAGAAGTGTTCGGTTAGCTAAATGAAAATGTTGCTCGAGAGAGTACAAAGGAGATGCAAGCAAGATAACATTTGGGAGATGAATTTGGTTTTCAAAATAGGGAAATAGCTAGCTAGAGCACCTTGGATGACATCTTGCTATATCATATGGAAAGCAATTAGAAACGCAAAAAACCTTTGTGATGTTAATTATCTCTAGTTATGCATGTTTATACCAAGTTATGTTTATGACTAACAATAGAATGAAGAATCAAATTCTTTAATAAGGCTAGCTTTAAGGAGGAAGAGGTTAATCATCTCTAATTATGTTTATACCAAGTTATGTTTATGACTAACAATAGAATGAGGAATCAAATTCTTTAATAGGGCTTCAGTGTTAGCGTCTATTCTTGGTTTGAGAAATACACCTTAAATCCGTAATATATATGGCTATGACACATACATTTGTAAAATGGTCATTAAAAAGTTTAGATTAGAAACTGTAGATAGAAAATAATAAATAGAGAATACATATGGAGCATTAAATTGTCTTCTGAATACTAAGATCTAGCCCTTTTTTATATGGGCTGATCGGTTCAAACAAGACGAAACAAAGTGAAGTAAATCGCTTATTTCATTTATTACACTCCGTAATTAATGAATTATTTATTTAATAAAAGTGTTAAGTATACTTTTGTTTGCTTGAGAGCAATAATAATGCGTGGTGAAATGGATCAGCTAGCTAGCTAGCAGCTAGGGGCAGGTGGTGCACCCGCACTCCATATTGCCCGTATTGGTATTTCTGGCTTTGAAATCGGACCCGTAAAGCTGGGTGCAAGTATTCTGGCAATCCTTCCATGCCGGATTTGGGTTTGGCACTCTGTTTTGGCATTCCGCCGCATCACTTGCCGCCGGAATCATCACTAAACCAACTGCATCATGTAGTACCCATACGGAGTATTATTTAAGTCAATCTTTACGAAATTTATTATTATTTTGAAAATGACCGTTAGTTACACGTAATTAAATATTTAAATTTGTGGATATAACACATTTGTTTCACACTTCAAACACAATTTGCAAGCCCTAAATTGCATACTTTTTTAAATTATGTCCCCAATTCCCAAATTCTTATTATATTATATTACTGAGAAAATTAGAGATGTGATATGAACAAGTACACAATTTAGGGCTTGTAAATTGTATCGGATGTAATTAGAATTACAGGACTCATATAATACTGGGTACGAAATAAATGCGTTACCTCGTCTAATTAGAAATGCTAATTATATTTAAAGACTATTTTTAAATAAACAAAACTCAACTACTTTACATGCATGAACTAAAAACATACTTCCTCCGTCGTTCAAAAATTATCTTTCTGTTTATTATTCGTCGGATCAAACTTTATTTACTTTGTTGGTCTTTTTTCGTTACTCATTTTATAAAATAATATTGTCATGTCATCCCTAGTTTTGTTGATCTTTTAATGTAATTTTTAAATACGGAGTATGTAATTTTTGTTTTCTGATTTCATATTATTTTTTATATAAAATGATTTGAAAATAACTCCAGTCAAATATCGTAATGCACAACGGGAAAATAATTTTTGAACGGAGGGAGTATTTAAGTCTTATTTTAACAAGTAATAATAAAAATTTGGGGACATAAGTGCATAACTATTTTATTGAAATAAATAAGTAAAAATACTCGTAGTTATAATGAAATGAATGGGAGGGAGTATTGATAGTTAATACTTTATTATATTATTATTTACCTAAAAGAGTGAGAGCAACAATGGCAGTGGCGTATGCGGAAAGGGAAGAGATCTTCTTAGCCATTGTGAAGGTTTTGTATAAGATGATTTGTTTTGTTATATTCTCTTAAATTTCTATGCCCTTAGACTCTTAGAGTCCTCCTTTATATATACACGAGGAAATCTGCTTTAGTAAAAACCCACAATTACGGAGTATTTTTTGGGGGGTTTATTATATTGTTTTCACCACATTATTTTCTACTTACAATTTAAGGATCTCCTTTGCACGTAAAAAATTTTAAATTTAAATTTAATTTTTTAAATGGGTTAAATATGTTTTTTGGTCTCTGCAAAATATGCAAATTTTGTTTTTGGTCACTGTAAAATATCTTTTTGTTAAGCCATACCATCCTTGTTACAAAAACTTTTTATTTTTAAAATGATCCTCAAATATAATTTAGACTTTTAACTTATTAGGATACATGTGATATCTCAACAAATTCAAAGTGTAAATTATTTTTTAGGACCATTTTAAAAATTAAAAACATTGTAAGGATGATTTAACAAAGAAATATTTCACAGAGACTAAAAACAAAAGTTACCTGTTTTACCGGGACAAAAAACATATTTAACCCATTTTAAAAATTAATTTTAAAAATTAAAAATTAAAATTTAAAATTGAATAAATAAAAAAAATTAAAAATATAAAATATAAGAATTCAAAACTGGAAAGTCAAAAAAATTAAATTAGAATAATATATAGGCGGTGTGGATGTAGACGCGGGGAAGGTAGAACTAGAAGGGTGATGAGCGGGGGGGGATGAAATTTTCCTTTGAATTTTAATAGAAATTATTTTACTTTGTTAGTAAAAAATATTTTCCTTCCACGTATGCCAACAAACGCGGAAAATAGTTTTTTTTTCCAATCAAACACCATTAATCTTTTAATTTTTTCCTTCAATTTTTTTTAGAGCATTACTATTTCTCCGTATGTGATTAGACATTTAAACGCAATTACGGAGCACATGTTTTTCATCTCCGAGCACACCGTAATTTTCACGCACACAAACACTCCGACTCTTCCGCCAATTAATTAATTTCAGTTTTCTTCCTTTATCCATTTCAAATAAGCTTTTGATTTCCAAAGAGAAAGAAAATGTACTTCATTGTCGGGTTAAATAGTCAAAACTATTTTCTTATGAACTTTTTTTTTTCAAAACCTCCCGAGCTGGTTTGTCTCATTTTCGTGTTTTTAGATTTTGTGTAGGAGAATAATACGGAGGAAGAACGTTGCGGAGCAGCGCTAACGAAAAATGAGAAGAATATATAACTTGATAGAGGATAACGAATCGCATAAAACACTTTGAGATCAAAGTTATTCCAGAGTATACGATATACTTTAATCGTATAAGACCATAGTTTTCAGAACCAGACCAGTGACCGAACCGGTCAAGGTACTGGTTCACTGGTTTACTGGTCGAACCAATGGTTCAACTAGTCGAACCGGTGGTTTAAACATATTTAAAAATTATATATATATATGTGTGTGTGTGTGTGTGTGTGTGTGTATGTATATATATTTACACACACATACATACATGTAGACACACACACACATTCTCATTTATAAATATCTAAAGAAAGTAATTTATAACATTTAAGTAATATTATATTAATATACTTGAGTTATTTTATAAAATTTAAAAATAAAATTAACATATTAAAAAATATAAAAGAATTTTAAATGAAGAGTTGATTTTCTTTTTTTCAAATAATTTGTTTAATATAAAAAAATGAAATCTTTGCATGATTTGCATTTGTAATAGTATCAATAATATTATATTTATAAAATTGAAAAGGAATTTATATACAATCTTTTTTGTAATTATGAAATATTATAAAAGATTATGTGAACTTGTAACAAAAAGCACCATTACTTGGATGGTTAGGAGCTCAACCAAATGTCTAAGAGGTCTTGAGTTCAAACCCCCCTCCCATGGAGGAATGTCTTGGAAAAAATCAGCAAAAAAAAAAATGGGCGGACCGGTTCGGGCCGGTTCGAAGCAGGTTACGGTCTAATGCGCCGGACCGGACCGGTTGGACCACTGGTTCGCCGGTTCACGGTTTGAGCCGGCCGTCTGGTCCGGTTTTTAAAACTATGGATAAGACGTTAATTTCAAACAAACCTTTCGAAATCGTCTCTTTGACCATGCATACCCGAGCGCAGGACCGGCCCCGAAAAATGAAAAAATAAAATTGGCCGATCCAAAATTTACATTTTGTGCCCTATTTTATATTTTTAGAATACTTTTGTTTTAAAATTATTAACAAATTTAAAAATATAGTACCCTAAATTTTAAGGGGTCCTATGCAGTTGCCACTTTACACACCCTCCGGGCCATTCACGCCCGAGAGTCTCTATTATTTATAAAGATGAAAATTTTCGCGTAAACTTTTCAAACTTTCACGCGGTAGGGACAAACGTAGACTTTTAATTTTTGGATGCAAACGTTCGTAGAGTTTGGTTAAAATTAGTCTTTATCCAACATTTTGTGCTATGTACGGCACGACATTCAATGTCTACCGAATAAATTCCACCCGGGGTTCTTATTAAAACCTTAGAAAATGGAAATAAGAATTAAAAAGAAATGAATAATTATTTTATCACTTCAATGTAATTTCATTTTTGTTATTTCTTGATAAGAAAAATATTTTCATTTTTGTTATTTCTTCATATTGGATGATTTCAATTGGATGCTTAAGGAGTATTTTTGGTTCCAACGGTTTAATCAACGTGGACCACACTCGATCTTTCCCTCGCTGCGAAATATTCGGATCGCCCCTAAATCCAAAAAGAAAATAAAAAAAGGAACGAAAAAGAAAAAAGAATTTCTCTCTTTTTTTCCGTCTTCCTTTTGGATTTGAAGAGTATTTACGGATTCATATCTTCATTCATTTCACGGTGGCGCAGTGATCAAATTCTGTATAATCTGAGAATCGGAATGAGCACCGGGGAACTCCTTCGCATCGATCCTCTGGATCTCAAGTTTCCATGTAATTTCTTCTCCGATCGTCCCCATTTCCTAGCTTTTGATGTGATTTTCGTGATTTTTGGTGAATTTTTTCGTCCGTGTGTGAAATGTCATCAGTTGAGCTCAGGAAACAGATCTCTTGCTCGATTCAATTGTCAAATGGAAGCGAAAATCATGTGGCTTTCAAGGTGAGAAGTGTATTCATGTGTTTTGTGCTTCGGTCGATGAATGTGGAATGTATTTCTGATGCATATTCCGTGTTTCAATTTTGTTGATTTGTTATATTGATCTTTTGAATGATCTTCTAGGTCAAGACAACTAATCCGAAAAAGTACTGTGTTCGTCCCAATACCGGGATTGTTTTGCCTCGATCCACTTGTGATATAATAGGTATTTCTGTGGGATTTCATCCATTTTTCTCAGTTTAATTTTCGATCGCTGTGGAAATTTATGAACTCAGTACCATTTGGATATCCGTTTGATGTTAATTTATAATTTTTTTTAGTGAAGATTTTTGTTCTTTTCAAAGGTCTTGGCACTAAAATTTGTTTATTTATGTTCAAATTTCCATTGTGTGTAGTAACAATGCAGGCACAAAAGGAGATGCCTCCTGACATGCAATGTAAGGACAAGTTTTTACTTCAGAGTGTAATTGCAAGTCCTGATACAAATCCAAAAGAAATTTCTTCTGAAATGGTAATAAAACAGCTACTGTAACTCAATTTCTCCCTATGACTAGCAGCTCTTATAATTTGGTTTTCAAATTAGTAACCGCAAGAAGTTACAACAAGAATTGAACTAGGTGTTTGGCAAAACGAGCCGTGGAGTAATACGATAAGTTTTTTCTAGCCAAACAAAGCCTAAGTGGGGGTTAATTATTGCAGTTCAATAAAGAAGCAGGAAAGTTAGTGGAAGAGTGCAAGTTGAAAGTGGTTTATGTATCTCCGCCTCAGCCACCATCTCCCGTTGCAGAGGGTTCAGAGGAAGGTTTATCACAAAGTCCAACCTTAACAGAGAACGGTTTCGAGGTTTGTTGTTTCTCAACTCTCCGGCATCCAGTCATATCTGAATTTGATCCTGAACAAAACTTTTAGCAGCATAATGTAGCAATAATTGATAATAGCATACTGGTTTGTTTCTTGGTCTCAGGCTGCAAGATCTTTTAGTGATTCTCTTGACAAATCTTCTGAGGTGAAGTTTCTTGTGTACATTACGATCTCTTCTTCTTGCAGTAGTTATATGTATCTACATGTAACATAGATTTGCACACTGTGATTCGCACACATCTCGAAATTGAATTTGGGAACAATTTCTTATACAAGTAGAATGGCTGGTTGGGTTCCCAGAGACAAAGCTTTAGGAAAGCAGTGATTAGTAACTTTCTTTATATATACTCTGTATAATGTAAGAATAAAATATTCATCTTTATCACCATGGTTCTTGTTGTGGAAAGAGGCCTACACATTGTGCTAAACTCTTGGTCAAATATAGTACTGTTTTGGCAAATGTATAACTTTTAAGTTTCAGGTACAATACACATGAATTACACATACGGAGTACTTTTTAAACTTATATGTTATTGTAAATAAAATATTATGTGTAACAATTGTCAGTGACTCTTTTTTCGTAAGTTTTGGATGATTGACATAAATTACATGAGAAATTAGTCCTAAATGTGATCCCATATTTCTAATTCTCTTTCTAAATTCTAATAAGCCGATCCTGAAAATATTCACTCATTTATGGAAACAATTGTGTGGCATGTAAAACTCAACCAACAACTTCACTTTCTTTATTTGCATGCCCATTTTGGATGGGAGTCTTCCTTTGGGGGTAGGAGTAAAACTTTTTTCTTGCCTTCAAATTTAGAGCATGTGGATGAGTATATATATTGTATTTGCATGGCTTGGATGCCATGATGATTGATTTGGACTTTTTTCTATTTCAACTTTCAGGGAAAATCACTTATTACAAAATTAACTGAGGAAAAGGTGGCTGCAGATCAACGAAACAACAGGCTTCGTCAAGAACTGGTTAGGCACTTGCATTTGTTTATTTAAGAAAAAAAAAGTTGTTATCTTCTTTCAGATACTTCATATGTTGTCCTTTCCTTTTAAAACAGTTCCTCACCTCTTAGGTTTGCTTCATTATTAGATTTCAATCTATAACAATAATTTAGGACAAAAATGAAGTGGCTGTGGTTCTACACTAACTACTAAATCATGATCTAGTCCCTAGTCAGGATTAACTCTGGGATTAGTCGCGGTCGATCCAAAATTAGATGGAGCCTAACTGAACACGAAAAAACCCAGGCATCCAAGGAGAACCTAGTGTCTAGGCGAGGACTAATCGGGTTTTTGATGATCGATACTCCATAACAACAACGACCAAACAAACCCAGTAAACTTCTAGAGAAGTAGAAGTAGGGTCTGGTAAGGATGTGTGTACGCAGACCTCAGACCTTACCCCTATTCCAAAGATCAATACCCCATATAGATATAAAACCTAAACACAAGAGAAACATCTCAAAATATAAGCTGCTTTCAAGATCAAACGGTTCCCAAGTGGGGTTCGCGTGACATTGGGTTTAACAAGTGCTACACATGCAGGAGCTCTTGAAGCGCGACACCCAAAAAAGTCGCAACGGTGGCGTCTCGTTCATGTTTGTCATCATTGTCGGCTTGCTTGGCGTAATCTTGGGCTACATTGTGAAGAAATGAGCACTTATTTTTGTTCGCACGTATTTCGGGACTCTCACTTACCGCAACGGAAACCTGACCAATTGCTCCTTGCCCCTTGTACTTAGAAACCATTGGGGTGGTGGTGGTGAAATGAATGAAGAGGGGTTCTTGAAGCTGTTAGCTCAACAGTCAAACTGCATTGTTTTAGAGAGGTTTTGCTCAGGCAGAGGTTCATTATATTGTTGTTTTATACGAATCTTTCACTCCATCAAGCACACATAATTCTGTAGACTGGCCTAAATTTTCTTCATCATCAAGACTTTCTTTCTTCTTAAGATTTTTTACTTGCAACTTTGATGTCTTTTTTTATGATGCTTATAACAACAAATCTTGTAAAAGCTCACAAAAGGTTGGGTATGAGGGTTGTGATGATACTTGTTGCTTTTATTTTTTGGGAGGACAACATTTTTAGTGACTTGTACAGTTGTACTTCATTATTAACTTTAGTTCTGTTTTTTTTATTTTTGACGTAATTTTATTCCAAAAACGAGTCCAATTTGAATAATAGAGCCTTTTTTTTTTTTTAAAAAAAAAATCATATTTAGTGTTTCTTTTAGAAACCATTATCCCAAACAAGTTGAATAATTTGCTATATTTACCTAACCAACAAAAAAACTTAAAAATTTAGATATATTTAATTACTCCACTGTCCGATTTTTTTTAATTTAATTTTTTATGGTGTTCTTAAATATTAATATCTCAATCTGTGTGTGTGTGTATAATCAATGTTTAAAATCGTTAGGTAAGAAAAGTAAATAGGAGGAAAATTTCGAACGATGTACTAACACTAAAAGTTGTATAGCTTTGAGTAAAAACTCTATGTCTACATATAGAGGAAGCAAATGTTAACACGTTTACTAGAGCTATAAAATAGAAAATCCAATTCACTTATAGGCCATAAAAAATGCGCGGTATATTTCTTCTCCACTATGTTTTGTTTAAAAAATTTGAGAGGAAAAGGAAAAGAAAATGAAATGGAAAACAAATTTCATATTTGGTGTGAGAAGAAAAAATAGAAAAGTTAATAGTAAATAAATGAAAAAACAAAATAGGCTAAGAGAGCTAAGAAGGAAACCTAAATTCTTTCTGATTTGGAGAATAAAAGGAGGCATCATTTTTTTTCTTTCCAAATTTCATTCAACCAAAAATAGAGCTAAAATTGGTTAAATTCCATTGTATAAATATCTTTCAGAGACCCTAGCATATTCATCCCAAGTTTATTTTAAAGGTAGATGGGTAGGGAGCGTTTTGAAGGGAGTGAAACGAGAGCATATTTAAATGAATTTATTAATAATTAAAGTGTTACAATGAAGATCGTGAAAATTCAATGAGAAGATTTTATGAACAAAGGAGTATTTTATATGCATACAATCAATAGGGACATCATTCACTTTCACCAAATATTCCAAATAGATATAAACCAAATTTTATGCGGAGTAGTTTTTATTAAACACCTTTCACTATACCACACTTCTTTAGCTTTGTAAAATCAAAATGTCAAATTAATTGTGAGATGAAGATAATAAATAAATTTTATTTTTAATTTTCACACCAATATACAAATAAAATAAACGTGTCCACATTTCAAGTTTCTACACTACAAAACGAGTACAAAAGCCAATTGAAACTTGTGCAAAAAAAAAGGCTAAGACAAGTGATCAAAATAGGTGCACATAGCAAGCCAAATCAAACCGATTAAAATCCCAAAATTAGACCCAAAGCAAGACATTAATCATAATTAATGCAGGATCTTAAGCAAAATCAGGTCTGATTCTAGCCAACATACGGGCAAAAGAATCTTTTTCATCATTTCTTTCATCTTCAAAAAATGAAGTCGCTCAAGGCATAGCTGTCGTCTGTGGAGCGTTTGGCAACGATATATGCACTATCTTCAACACCCGCATTAAAGCAATTTATCCTGTGCCTGCGGAATTTCGGAGCCATTGATTATTCTCCGCATATATAGACACACACACACACACAGACATTATCATAGGGGTGCAATCTTTAAAAAGTAATCTAATGCAGTGTACGCATACACACCATTCGAAATGGTCTTCACAGCAAATGGAACCCCAGATAATTGAAAGTCCTGCAACCTTCCTGAAAGTGTGGATCCAATTGTAACCGATTGCATTTAACATGGGACCAATATTGTTTATGCAAACAATCAAAAGAGTAAATGTGGTTGAGAGTGAATAAAATAATCTAAAAAATTGGAATTACAATAAGAGCCTGGCGGGAAAGAGCCACAACGAAACTCTCTAGAACAGTAGGCTAGAACACTGGTATTGCTAAGGCACCATACGACTAATGTCCTGATATGTCCTCTATAAGGGTCCATTTAGAGCTTGGAAAATAACAAGGAAGAAAATAGAGAGGAAATTTGAAAGAATTGAAAGACTAAGAAATCTATTTTTTAAATCCATTTTTAAAAATTTCTTCAAGCTCATTTTATTTGAGTTTTTCTCATATAAAGACTAAGAAATCTATTTTTTAAAAGATCGAATCAAGTCTGATTTAGCTGTGTATTTTCTTAGGTAAAATGAAACAATAAAAGCACATTTTCCTTGGTACGGAATTTTTCCCCATTTTCGTACAATTTTTTAAGTTCCAAGCATAACATAAAGCTATATAGGTGGAGAGCAGTAGGGTGCTAGTTCAAAACTATTAAGATTCAGGTAATTTACCTCCAGCACTCGAACAGTTGGGGCGCATCTAACTGGGCATAATCCAAAAACAAGGGGGAAAAACACCATATTGTGGTTGAACTTTACTCACCAACTAAGGGTCACGGTTTTGAAGGTGCAACGTAGATCAAGGACGCCTAAAGGGTAGGTAAATGGCAGACTATATAGTGAAGGAGAAAAATTGCCACATAGTGTATGGCAATGCTTTCACTTTCATAAGAGGGAGAAAAGGGAGGGGAAAATGTAAAGGATAACATAATTTACTTACCAGGTTGCAGTGTAAACATCATAATACTTGTTAAATGCTTTGTTCAGGCAGTAGTGGCAAGCCAGAAGATCCTGGATATCAGTTGCTTTGCATGTTGATTTGCAGCACTTCACCTGTCTCCAGTGTAAAACAACACTGTTAAATATTAACACAAAAAACACACTTTCATTCAGATAAATCAGAGAATAATTGGTCTCTTCAAAGCTGTATTGGATTAACTTGTGAGAAGGAATTTATTTAGTAAAAGTCACTGTTGTAGGGTGTGTATATCCCAACTTTATTAATGGAATGGGAGTGCAGGGGTTATGACTTATGATCCAAGTGAAACCTTACCAAACGGTTGAGCTTATGGGAATAGTATTGTCGGTGCGAGGGGTGTGTGATTATATGCTTGCTCAAATGACCTGCACTAAAATTATCATAAAGTTCAGTTAAATTAGTTATGTTTTTGCATTACTTAGACATATTCAGCATTGCCTCCATTGCGAATGGGGCTGAAAGAGTCATTTTTGGCAATGTTTTAGCTTCAGGTAAATAATAGACTAAATCAAAATGACACATTAAACTTCTCTAGCTTCTAACTAGGGATTAAATGCAGCAATGCATCAAGGGACTGGCGAAAATAGCCTCTCTGCTTTTTACCAAAAAAAAAAACGGTTACTACACTTTTGGAAACAGCTTCTCTACTTCACAGTAGTGATGAGGTCTGCGTACACTCACCCTCCCTAGACCCTACTTTGTGATATTTTAGTTATATTACTGAGTTTGTTGTTGTATAGTTATTACACTTCTGGACTAAACAACTCAATAACTTGCAGTGCCATAGCATAGAACTAAAACATATGCCAACAAGGTGGGTGGTACTGTGGTAGACTAAGTTAGCGGCCAGTCGGGACTATTCATGGTGGGGCGGATCTAAACAGAGTTAGAAAAATTATAAGCAGGGAAAAATCCTACAAGCACGAGGAAAGCCTAGCGCCTAGCAAGGAGTGATTAGGGCTAACAGAGATTTCAACAACAATGGGAGTACTAGCCAGTACCAACCATACTTGTTTCCCTTGAATAGCTACATCCATTTTCAGCACATAATATTCAAATTGAGCAAGATAATATTACTACCAGCACACATACACAAAATAATGCAATACCTATCGCAAAAGGTGTTACTACATTTAAGACAGGTTGCCAAAGATGTAGACCTACAGCAAGAGTTGCATTTTTCTGACAGTGAATGCTTTCTAAATTCATGGCACCTGCAAACAGACAAAAGATGGTAGTTTTAAATGAATAGTTTCATTTTTAAATGAATAGTTTCATTTGAACCTACATTGCCACCGTGCCAGTGCATCACATGCTTAAAAGAGAATTAACTGAATGAAGAAAAACTAAATTGCTGAGTAGTTTATATAATACTATGATAGATTAGAGCCCCTTCTTAAATAGTCAATGATCAGGACGAACAAACTGAGAAAATTGGCAGCTCATCTGGAAGGTCCAAATACACGAGTTTGGAAGAAAGCAGTATCAAATTTTGTTTCAGTACTTATGAAGAGATGAATAAGTTACTCTTAATTATACATCAAGAGCATAAAGTTAGAAATCTCTCTAAGAAAGTGGTACAAACATTAACTAACATATGCCAAATTTAAAATTTATGGCTACAACATAAGAGCATAAAGTTAGAAATCTCTCTAAGAAAGCAAAACTTGGCACAAGTATTTTCCGCAGACTTGTGTGGTGTGGAAAGCATTGTACAGAAGATCAATACCTTCAGTTTACTTTTTGGGGCATCCACTCATATTGAAGGCACAACTGAATTGAAGTATTCAATAAAATAAAAAGAAAACAAAATAAGGTAAAGAACACCTTTTATACAAATCGAGAAGATCTCTGGGTATGGAACACGTTTTGCTTGGAAACACAGACAGCTGTGCAAAGGGATTGACAAAGTAAGCTTCAATTTGCTAGTGGCATAGCATCAAAATTTTCACAATTTAAAAATAAATTAATACCTGTCTGCTTGCTTCACCCGATTGACCAGATGGAAAGGATTGGCTTTTGGATTTCATAACCAGACAATCATTGGGAAGATGCCCAGGCCTTTGACATTTCCAACTACAGAGAAAAATCATAATCATGTCAAGAACAAGCACATAGCAAAGAAGTTTTGCACTAAATTTGTCCTCCTATAGCACGACCCTCAACACTTTTCAGTACCTCATACTTATACAATAGCTTCATACCCAGTAGAGAACCGATGATGGATGCTCCAAATCTATTAAATACTCTTGGTTGGTTAGATTGGGTCTAACTCACCCCAAATGTAGACATCACACTTACTCCCTCTGTTCCATATTAGTGTTCCTAAACACTATTCACATGGCCAAACCTCATCTTCTTTCCTTGCAAACTTTCATTGATCATTTGATAAAATAAAACAATCAAGCCACCATTTGTTTTGTAGAACTTTTGATTGAGCTTTATATATAAATTTTATTTACTAATCCTACACCATTTTTTGAATAAATTAAATTGAATATATCTTTATTCAAACATCGTAAACCGAATCAGGTCTATATAGGAAGAAATGGTGTATAACATTTTAGACAACATATATGGCATACTCAGCACTAAATACATCGACATAATGATGCATGCCTATTACCTACCATTCATAAGCACAAAGCCCGGATATTTTCTTGGACCACCGATGATTCTCAAATTCCCAGGAGTCCCCTCCTGATTCAGGAACTACCGAGCCACATTTATTGTCAAAGCGCTCTTCGGGGATTTGAGCACTTAAGGGCACCTGAAGCATCAATCATGGAGAAAAGTTTTGAGTTAAAGAAGAGGAAAGGAGTTAAGGACACACTTAGAAAATAACCAGATGCAAGTAGAGAAACACCTTATTGAGCTTGTTATGTTTTCCTAGAAGCTCATTTTTGCAATCAATGCTGCATATGTCATCATCAGTCTGCATGAAAAAGAATCATTATAAATGGATATTTGGAAGCAAATCCACATGTTAGAATCCAAACAAATCACCTCATTGCAAATGTACTCTCCATATCTTCCACACACCACACAAACAGGCTCCCCAGGCAGAGAGGCCCGCTGCTCACTCCAGGTCTTAATTCGATCTTCATTTGTAAAACCTGAATTTATAAATGAAATAAATTGCAAAGTTTAAAACAATCAAAGTGCATTGTAACTAAATTATGCAATGAATGGAATATTCATGTATGGATGGCAATTGGTCAGTTGATTGTAACCAAAATAAAAAGCATGTCTTGGCATCATGTTAGGATGCAGTTGTTAAACATGGTTAGCTTATAAAGTGAACAGAAGCAACTCTGAATGAAGTGTCTGACTTCAATTATTTCCCAAATGGCATAACATGTCATTAGACTGATAGCCTGACCATGGTCTCTATCTAATTATTCTAATGCAGAACATAAGTATACAGTAGCGCATTAAAATGCTTGCTCTAATCTTTTACTTGCTCGGTGGACACTGGAGTAAGGTATTTATTCTTAATAATAAGATCCAACATATTTCATCTAGTGGAATTAATTCATCCAATCAGTTAGTCTATAAATTTATTATGCAAAAATCCTCTTTTTCTTCCATTTGGTGGGTGTGTAGAGGATTGGTGGCATTGGGGATATCCAATTTTCGTCACATATTAAAAGTGAGAATGAAGTGGGAGAATGAAGGAAAAGTGAGTCCAGCCATGGTTAATTGCCCCGAAGTTAAGGTAGGTTAGTATTAAAGAATTAATGAACAAAAACCATGAAGTGAAATTATCAAGATGGGAATGCAAGTTTTAAGAAAGAAACCAAATGGCTGGAGATTCTGATTTTCCGAAGAAGTATCTGCTTGGCGGGCTTGCAGGCTAGAGTTACTAGGACCATGCTTGTCTTTGCATTCCGATGAACTACTTGAAGTTGAACCTGGATTTAGAATTATTTCCAGATGAGAGTCTGATGCAAAAAAAATACAAATAGAACCATGCTAGTCTTTTTTCCGTCTAGAAAAAACACGACACAAGATAAGGAAGAGGCCAACATCACAGGTGAAACATAAGAATTGATAAATTTTAGGTCAAAATCACAATAGCATATTAGCATCTCACCCAATAGAGCATTATTCACATTGACGAGAAAAACAAACACCGATTACATTGCACCTGTTGGTTTGGATAATAAAATGTTATACTCCGGGTAATAAAATTAAGGGTTGGTTTGGATGGTGAGTTTTGGATGGCTAAGTCTATATGTTGATATACTTTGTGTGTGTGTATGATTATATGAATGCATGTACGTATGAGATTATATAAAACTTTACGCTCCAAACTGACTCTAAGCCTATGATAACTAGCTTTAGACTTACACATTTAGCTGATTTGAAAGTTACCAAAAAATCCCTTAGAAAAATTGGTTTATTTAAACTATTTCAGCCAATTAACCCTTCCAGATTTTCAGCCAAACATGTACTACGTATTATGTATGTATGTATGTATGTATGAGAATTTATAAAATTTAAGTTCCAAACTGACTCTAAGCCTATGAAAACAAGCTTTTGACTTGTGCGCTTAGCTGAAATGGAAGTTACCAAATGTTTTCTTTTAGAAAACATCAGCAGATTTAAACTATTTCAGCCAATGAATCCATACCAATTTTCAAGTGAAAAACCTTAACCAGAAGTTGAAAACTCACTTTTCCACCTATTGCACAACCGAATCATAAGCTAATCAACTCTGCAAGATCACAAATAACAAGTATGTGAATGGTTATAAGTACAAAATAACAATTCACCTTCGTACTCTACCAACTTCAAAACTGAACTCGAGGTCTCCTGCTGCACAGATCACTTCCATTATACACATAAGAGGAAGTCGTTACAGCACGCAGTGAACCAATCTAAAACCATACCAGTACATCCGCCCCCAGTTCTTCATAAGGATGACGTGAAGCAACCTCCTTCCTGTTTCAATCACAACAATAATCAATAGTTGCAGTTAACAGAACCGTTTTAATCCAAATCTCACCTTCTCTCATCGATGTATTCGTGGTGAGACAATGGCTTATCATTCACCTCCGCTGCAATTTCATTGCTCCCAACCGGATTCCTTCTCCCAGTCCGTCGGCGTTTGCTGCGTACGGCACCAGTATCGTCGGAATCGGGCTTTTCCACCGTCGGCGGCGGGGGAGGGTTGCAGGTGACGACATTGTAAGCTGCAGATTCGGAAATAAAGCTTTGAGAAATTGACGGGAAGAGGGAAGGGAGAGAGGAAAAGAGTCCATGGCGTCACCATCGAGATTCCGGAGAACGGAGTTCAGATTGAAGGATTTGTTATACACAAAGGAAGGATTCTTGTACAAGTTGCTTCTCGTTCCCATTTCTCCCCCCTGCGACTTTTGGGAAGAGTTTGATTCGTGATCGGAGCTTAGGCCAATCACCGGCAGAGCACGGCGCCAAAGCCTAAAAAGAAAAAGAAATTGCAGATAATCGCGGTGTTATTGAAAACAAACTCCGGTCTCAATTAGCTATCTTTTTCAATAAATTCAAAAAAAAAGGAAAAATTGATATAAATACTCCTAGAAATTTGAAATTTTACAATAAAACTCCCAAATTTAATAAAAGACTCTGGTGCTCCAAATTAAACTATAAGTTTATATTACTACTCCCATTATGCCTAATCAGCTTTTCTTATGCTTACATGTAAGTAATTATGCTTAGTTGACATCTTAGTTGTTTTTTTGTTTTAATAAGAGAAAAAATTATATAAATTCTCCTTAAAATTAAAAACTTTACAATAGTACTCTCAAAACTAAATAAAGACTCCAGTACTCTAAAAAATATCTTCCTTTTACGTGTTACGATGTTAAATAAAAGTGGTGTGAACTCAAAAAATAAAATTTTATATCTAAAAACTACATCATAAGATCTATAAAACTAGTAATGATATAATTATATTATTTTATCAAATATATAATTAAAATAAGTAAGCAAAGTAAATAAAATTTGATCTTGTTAATACTCTTAATAATGAATGAGAAGATAATTTTTGGACGAAGGAGGTATTTTTATTAAAATATAAAAAAATAACTAAGATGCCAATTAAGCTGAATTAATTAATCTTTAATATTACTAAATTTTTTTTACATATTACTATATTAGTTTTTTATTATTTAATTTTTATTTTTTTAATTTCACACCATTTTTATATAAAATACTTTAAAAATAATTCCAGTCAAATATAATAATGTGCAATGAGAATATACTTTTGGGAGAACTGGAGTCTTTATTAGATTTTGGGAGTATTATTGTAAAATTTTGAATTTCTATGAGTATTTATATAATTTTTTCCTCTTATTAAAACAAAAAAAACAACTAAGATGACAACTAAGCATAATTACTTACATGTAAGCATAAGAAAAGCTGATTAGGCATAGTGGGAATAGTAATGTAAACTTATAGTTTAATTGGGAGCACCAGAGTCTTTTATTAAATTTGAGAGTATTATTGTAAAATTTCAAATTTCTAAGAGTATTTATATCAATTTTTCCAAAAAAAAAATAAAATAATTATGAGCACTAGGCTACTACGTAAAAGGAGACATCAAATTCAATGGTCCTTTGGAAAGTTAAGTCTAGAGTGGACTAGACTAAGAGCATCCGCACCGGCACTAGTGTAGATTTGTCTGCCACATCATCACTTTTTATAAAATGTCTTGCAAGACATGAGTAATTTGCCATGCTTTCCGTCCCAAAAACTGTTTTCCTTTCTTCTTTTTCTTGTTGCACAAAGTTTTTCTTCTCCCTATTAAAAAAGAGAAATTTACCTAAATAGGACTAAAATATAATGACTTTTCCAATATAGTACCATATGTTTTTATTTCCCAATGTAGAATCTTTGGTCAATATCACGAAGTCATTATTCAACTAAATGTGTATCATTGCTAGACATTATTCCTTCCACTAGGTCATTATTATGTCCTATTTAGAGAATAAAAAAAGTTAAGTCCTATATTAGAAAAGTCATTATATTTTAGTCATATTTAGTATAAATTTCACATTAAAAAAACTCTTTTTATCCTTGATAATTCTTACCATACCCATTACTTTTACTTTTTTATTAATAATATATCCATCACATCTTACTTTTATTCATCACATCAGGGTATTTTTGAAAAGTCAACATCAATATATCACTCTTTGAAATTTCCTAAAAGTCAAAATCGAAATATTTTATTGGATTAAGTATATATATATATATATATATATGTGATGCCATGCCTATGGGCTATGGCAGCTGGACCCATGTATTAAGGGAAGTGTTTCATTCCCGGCCTTTAGCATTGCAGGAATAATGTTTTGGGAAGCAATATGTGAACGGTATATATATATATACCCTTCTATGTATGAAAAACTAATGGAAAGAGTTTAATAAGATTTTACCAATTCAACTGTATCTTTATATAAACGTCGTGTATCTAATTGTCTTTGTGTGTTAATTTTTACATTAGATAGATCTTGATGTCTTTGCTTGAACAACCATCATTTGTAGTCTATGGCAGTTTGTTACTTGCCTTTGTAGTGATTGTTTTTATTATTGTTATTGTTTGCTGTTCACGCAGATACTTTATCTCCTTGCGAAGACGATGGACATCCCAAACCACATCAAAGGCACAAGTAAATCCGTCCAACATGCCCAATGCTTAATGTGCACCATGCACGAGAGAATACATCATGGTTCTGGTCACATTGAGTTTCAATGTCATGAGATGACATTGGCTTCAATTAGGACACCTACGATGGTTAGTAAAATTGATGATTCGTACCCTCCTAACCCCCTCGGTACACCCGCACCCCCTTCAATTGCACCTCTAAATTTAGTTAAGTATTGCGTCAAATTCTTTGACTCCAAAGCAAACTACATTTAGGGAGTGCAATTAAAGGGGCTAGGGAAGGTGAGTTCAAGTCGGGTCGGGAGCGTCTAAAATGACACCAGTTACTTATACACCAGTTCGTTTGGGATACTTACGGTGCCCCGTTTGTAAAAATGACGGTTCCTACCCCACCTAACCCACCCCCTAAACCCCCAGCCCAGCCCAGCCCACCCTTGCCCCCCACCCCAGCCCCCCCTCCTGCCCCCCTCCCCTACCCTGGCACTGCCAGGGTAGGGAGGGGGCCGGGGCGGGAGGGGGGGCTCGGGTGGGGGGCAAGGGTGCGGCTGGGCTGGGGGTTTAGGAGGTGGGTTAGGTGGGGTAGGAAACGTCATTTTTACAAACGAGGCACCGTAGGTAACTCAAACGAACTGGTGTAAGCAAATGACACAAGTAGCACTGGTGTCATTTCAAACTTACCGATAAAAAAATGTGTATTCGAGTTATCGAACTTTTATTTTAATTTGTAACAATGCAATTTGTTTCATGGCAAATAATATAAAATCATAATTCCTCACATCAAAGTGTAGTTGATGTTAACATTACATAGATGTTAACATTACATCATAGCAAATTAACATAAGTGCAAAAGCTTAATCTTCTCGAGACTTATAAGTAACTCGTGTGTTAGAAATTATAGAAGTCTAATTTTTATTTTTGGAACAAAATCTTCAACAAAATTTGGGTTCACCATGTTCAAGGTTTTGATTGTGTATACAAATAATTCATATTTGTTTATACAGGTGCCAACTTTGATAAGATATCTAGCACTTATTAATCCTCGCATTTAGCATTCGATTGACAACAGATTCCGTGTTTAACTTTAACATTTTGAAAAGAATATCTATTTGCGACATTTAATTTTAGTATTTTTCAAAATTATTCTACACAACTGTTAATAATGATCCACACTATGACACATTAAAAAACACTCCCTTCATTCTTTTTTCGTTTCAAACCTCTTACCAACAATATCTCTAAAAATATATAGTAATAATACTTTTAAATATAAATATTATGATATAATTTTATATCTTAATTTAATATACAGAATATTTCCATACTCCATATATGGGTGAAGGCCTAATACACCTCGGTACAATTGTAGAGTCGTCCCAATAAGCATTCCTAAGGAATAGACCTTGTGTAAGAAAAAAACATACTATTCTCTGGATAAAAAATACACTATATATCACTATCTTAGATAATTTTTATTTATATATCAAATGTCAATTGGGATGGACGGGAAAAAATCAAAATTGAAGAAATATTTTAAACGAAAGAAAAAATCAACGGCTAGTGTTAAGTGTTGACCCCACCATAGTGCCATACTGCCATACAAATCCAATCATGTCCCACCGGCCTCATTGACTTCTCTCCAACCCAGTCAAACTTAAAACCATTCTTGACCCCAGACAAAACCTTAGCCACACACAAAAATACAAGCAATAAATATGCAGCATGCTTCCCTTCATTCATACTCCCCCCTGTTTTACTGAGACCATTTTAATTTTTACGATAAATCAAAAGTCAAATGAATACAGACACGATGTATCAATAGTTGAACGAATATGGACACACATCATGTCCACATTCGTTTGACTTTTGATATACCCGCGAGCAAAGTTCAACCAGGAACCAGATAGGAGGAAAGAAAGGGGAGATGCCAATGGGCTGCACGGCGGATGGGATCCTAGACGAGTCAAAGTACAGCGAGCCAATGCCGTGGATTGGAATCTACGTGGCAGTGGCATCTGCAGCTTGTGCAGCAGCCATGGCTGGGGACGTCTTCCATGGCCTGCGCTACAAGATACTCTGGTTCCCTTGCAAATTCTTCTCTCTCAACGCCACCACTCTGGCTCTCATGGCAGTCGCGACCAAGCTGTCAGTCGACCTCAACAGCTCCATGCCACGGCACGGAGACCAGCTCGCGAAGCTCAGCAGTGGGGCCTTTGTCTGCACAGTCATGTCGAATTTCATGCCTTCTCTTGGAGCCATGAAACCCAAAGACCTCGCGATGAATCTCATGGCTTGGGGGATTTTCGTGGTCACGGTCGTGGTCAACATAGGGATCCAACTGGGCACTGGCGTGATATATGCTTTCTGGGAAGAACATGTCGCGGTCGTGTTTGTTATGATCATCCTGCTTCTGCTCCTGCTTTCTTCTGCTCTTTCAGTCCCTACAACAAAATCATATTTTGATCTCAAGTACAGAAAGAAGTGCAACAAATTAGAAAAGAGGATCGGCGAACTTAGACCATCCTTACTTGAGGGGCTGAGAGATGATCTGATGACATATTGGATGATGGCCCTTACATGTAACCCCCAGTTCGTGGTGGGGCGCTCCGTGACATGCACGGCCTCTGGAGCCTTTTGCCTTTTGGGCATGGTCGTATACGCGGAAGCCATGCTTCGTTCTTATCTGCTCCCAAGGACCTTCAAGTTCTGCAATGGAGAGTCTGATTACAAGTGGTCAAACGGTTTGATTCTTGTGACACAGACTATAGCTATACTAATAGGCACAATTGCGCCGGCCTTCAGGTGGCTCATGGCCATTGAATTCCAGTGCCCGAAGAAACTTAATAACCCATGCCACAACAGGCTTAGAGTGGAGGACTACTGGATTCAGAGCCTGGTCCGGTGTAAAGAATCCCCATTAGATTTGAGAAAACGGGGAAGGCGGGTCAGGAAAATCGCACACGGCGCGAAGGAGATGTTTTTGGATTTCTGTATTGGGATGCAGAGAGGAACAGTGGGAATGAGCAAATTAGTCCGGATTGTTTCACTTTTCTGGGTAAGGTGGTTATTGATAGGGACCAAAAGACTAACCCGGTGCTGCCATGGTGAAACAATGGAGTCAAGGGGGTCGTGTTCTTCTTCGATGCCAGAAGATCTAAGGGGCTACATTTTGCATCTTGAAGGAGAGGAAGCTTTGATGGATTACATGATGTCATGTCACTTTGCTGTGAGTGAGCATTGGATCAAGATGGGGGAAAAGAAGGAACCAAAGAACCTCACCGAACTCTTGCGCAGCTGGACACCAGAACAAGGGTTTCTTGAAGCAAACAGATTCGACAGTGACCTCGTTCCTCCATTGGACTGCGAAAAGGAGCCTCCGAACTGTTGGGCGCTTCCGGTTGTGACACTCGCAAGCATTGCAATGGCAGTCTCTTCTTTGGAGACCGACCACAGCTTAAGGGAGCAGTTGATGAAGTGTGTGGAGGAAGCGATGGTTTACGTAAGATTTCTGGAGGAGAAGCTTGACAGAGATGGAATCCTGACAAACCTCAGGAAGGCAGCCCAGATGGTATGGGTCAGAGTGGATCTCCATTACAAATGGCTGGATTTGGATCTCAGAAAAATGGGTGAAAGAGGAAACCCTGAAAATATTCTCAGATCACTATCCACAGAAGCAAAGCAGAGATACATTCAGTACAAAAACAAAGAGGTTACCATTTCTTTAGCAGAATCCCCATTGAAGTGGCCTACAAAGATACTGGCAGCCAACTCCATGTACCGCATTTGTCAATCTCTTCTTCTTCTACAAGAAAATCAAGAATTGCAGAACAGTAATATGATCATGTTCGAGAGGTTGTCCCAGATCCAGAGCAGCATAGAAGAGAGGGGGAAGAGTGTCCGTTTGGCCATCACGCTTCTGGGAAAAGTGGGCAAGATTTTGGAGATCGTGAGCCGCGAACCACTCCCAAGTGGTTCAGGTGCAGATAGGAGACTGGCACACATTGATGAGTGGAGAGCACTAAGCAAAGAAAAGGGAAATCGGCTCTGGATTTCCTGTCCAGCACACAAAAACAATGTTCCAAGAGCCGATTTCCCTTTTCTTTGCCAAATGTAGCCAAATGGCATATAGGGTCTGTTTGGTAACTAGGTGTCTAGGTTAATTTACACACTTTCGTTCCAGATTTCCATTCGAGTTCCTGTTCAATAGATAAACACAGCTCCCAAAAGTGCTATACTTTGTTCATAAATTCTTCATCCACAAAGAAGACACAAAAAAGACTAAATGTTCATCTACAAGTAAGATAAAAGATCTTGTGAACGAAACACTTATACATTGTCCTAACCTATGTTGCACGGATTTTTCAAACAACCTCTTTGTTTTTGTATGAGCTCCCATCCCCTCCCCCCTACAGCTTAGGTCCTCTCTCGATAAGCTAAAATCATCACAAGAATCGTACATTTGTGATTTACACATTCAAGGGGCTTTGCAACTAACCATAACACCAATTTCGATGTAAATTTGGTCACACCACAAAGTCATATATGTGTGTGTGTGTGTGTGTGTGTGTGTGTGTGTGTGTGTATACTGAAATCATCATAAGAATGACATATATGCTCATGATTCACAACGCCATTTTTTCATGATATTTGCAAAAACAGTGTCATATACAGCAATGAGATCAAATGAATAATTCATTGCTTACCATGAAATGAAGAATGAGCAATAATTCAATAGACCATTATAATCTAGTTCTAAATCTGCAAACCCAAGTCCAACAGATATCCCCAATTCAGAGCTCAAAAAAAAGGAGCGTAACTGAATCATTTCAAATAAATACTCCCTCCCTCACATATTGGATATCACGCTTCAAAAAATATGGAAAATCTCATCATTTTTAAAATTATTTAAATAAGAAATTGATATAGAAATAAAAAGTATAAATTACACTATTTAAAATTACATAAAAAAAATTCTATAAAAGATGCGACAAGAATATTCTATTTTATCAAATTATTGATGAAAATATAAAAACAAATAAAAGTTATGCTGAAGAATTTTTGAAACCTTTTGGTCTTAGTCTGCGTTTCTCCTCCTTCCGTTTGTGTCTTTCGGCGATTATGATGTTAAAGACCAGATAGCTCTGCCCCAAATAGACTCCCGGGTCAAGTATTCATTGGATCACTGTAAGAACTAGTAATTCCAGTGGTTGAACAGGTAATACGTAGTATATAACAATCCACTAAAATTATATCCCCTCACACAAATAAACTTTCTGTTCACTATTCACAAAGTCAAACATTATTCACTTTGTTGGCCTATTTTCATTACCCATTTGATAAAATAATAAAGTCATGTCACCTCTCGTTTTGTAGATCTTTTGATAAAGTTTTTTAATATGTAATTTTTATTTTTAAATTTTACATCATTTTTCATATAAAATGATTTGAAAATAACTTCAGTCAAACATCGTAACACACAACGGGGAGTTTATTTATGGACGGAGGGAGTAATAAAAAATAAAATTTACATCTTTTAAAATAATATTTAAAATTTTAGAAAGTAAGAGGTATTCTAGTTTTTTAAATAAGTTAACTCGGTATCTAAAAAAACACTCAAATAAAATATTTGCATATATGCATTCTGTAATAATGTTAAATATATCAATGATTTAGAATTCACATTATAGTTTTTAAAGTTTTTTTAAAAAATAAAATAAAATCCTTAAGAATCTTTATTTTTTTAATTATTAAGTATTTAGAAACAGTAAGCTAAAGTGTAACAAAAAACATTCTAGCTTATATTACAACTTAATGAGATTTTTAAGAGATTGTGTGTTCAAATCCCATCTTATATAACATTTTTGAAAAACAACTAGTTCACCCGGTCGGCCGGTCCTATTAGTCGATTTTGACCAATTCAGTGCATATTACGGTCCTGGACCAGTCAGACCACCGATTTATATTTTTTTAACTTAATAACGCACATTAAGCTAATATCTCTGTCTCTACTAGTATTTAAACTTGAGTGAACATTCCTCTCAATTTTGGGAAGTTAGCTTCCTAACACTTAAGCTACCAATTTTGACATTAAAATTTTGACAAAAATGTTTGACATACTCCATGATAATCGTTTTCTATGAAATCTGCTAAGTTTCTAGTTTTTTTTGTTTATTTTTATAGTTTTTTGAGAATATGTAAAATGATACAAACATCGGATGAATCGTTCCAATTGAGGCATATATGGTACTCACATAACCCTCTTGAAAAATTTGTGTGGGAACAACGCACTCCCTATCTAGCATATTAGAACTAATAGTAAAATGTTGTAAATTGTTTTGGGATACGTATTTGGTGCACTTTTCGATATTCAGAGGTAAATTGTGTAATTTTCGTAAAGTTTGAGGGTAACAGTGCACTTTTTAATGTTTATAGATAAATCATGCAATTTCTAAACAGTTCGAGGATAAATGATGAATTTTTCTCTTCATTTAATGAACTGGTATCTTAGTTCAATTACCCAGGGTACATGTTTTAAATGTTTCAATTTTCTCAACAATCTAGTTTTTCCGTCCTATAAAACTTTTCAAAGATGAAGAAAGGCACCCCTCAAAAATAGGTAATTCTGATATTCTTTAATAATTTTGATTCATTTATGCTACACATCATATCCTATATTGTTATCATTTTTAGGCAAGATAAATTACTAAAGTTATGATTAAAAAACAATACTAATAAATGAATCAATAAACAATCTATTTCATTGCAAGTTTTGCTAATATACCTAGTTTTTCCTTAATTTTCTAATAATAACAACAACAACATGAATAATAATACTCTATTATAATAATAATAATAATAATAATGATAATAATAATAATAATAATAACAACAACAACAATAATAATAATAAACCAAACCAGACAACACATAATGTTATTTTATACTCTCTCCGTCTTAGAACTATTTTTCTAGTTCGCCTTGATACTATTTTTAATAAAATAGAATGTGTGTGATTATAGTTTATATAAACAAAAAAGAATCTAAATGAACCAAGTACTTGTTTAAGGAAACCCCCAAATAGGAGTAAAACATGAGCTCAAACTTAAACTCCTCTAAATAGAAGTAATTATATAAGAAAAAAATCTACATATTCCCACGCCCAGTACTCAATCCAGAAAGGAAAAAAAATCGGTCGGTTCCCTGCATCCCTTCCGCCGATTCCCGTTCTGTCGCGACTCCTCTCAACAAGCTCCGCCCGTCGCTCGTCTAGACTCACCGGTGGGATCAAAGCCTCAGATCCGGCGCCGGCCAGTACCGAGATCGGAATTCCCACTCCCCGAAAGCACAAGTTGAGATCCGAAACTAGTTCATCAAATGGTCTTGTTTCCTATGATCCCCCGTCAGTAGACGCATCTCCAGCAAAATGGACTCCTCTGTTGGCAGTCGAGATTAGAATCTTTAATACCAAGTTCTTGGCGGAATCCATTGTGTAGTTGGTCGAAACCCTTGGCCTTGAGCTTGATGTCTCCACTGGAGACAAATTTCACTATCCAAAGCTTGAAGTCGACGGCCATGTCTCGGGACGATTGGTCATCTGGCCGCCACAAAGGTGATTGTGATATGAGTGATGGTCACCAGCAGTAGTGTTGGGCAATGTTTGGGTTTGACATTACCCCATTGTTTGACATTGTGAATTTACATATGTGACATTATATATGGGCATTTGTGGTATTATGCAC